CAGCCAAAAGCAGGACATACTTGTTTTGGGCATTTCCAAACGTTCCAAAGGGGTCTCCGGCCATCCCGCCATCTCCGGTGAAGATGTAGAGGTACCCATCGTCCCCAAAGAGCAGCTGGCCCCCGTTGTGGTTCGCCGCTGGTTCTTCAATCTCCAGGATTATCCTAAAAGAAGATAAATGTCCCCACCCCCGGCCCCCAAAATATCCTCAGCCAAAATACAAAACAAGATCACAGCCACAAAACCTCCTCTCCCCTGGATGCCACTGCACAGTGGCAAAGACATTGCGTGTCCTTTATAGCACGTGGTTTTTACAAAGATCTGGAGGGCTGGGCATGGACAGTTCACTCTGTTGTGCTAATGAGAACTTGGATGCTCAGAGGGGTTGACAAACTTGCCCAAGGGCACACAGCAGAGCTGGAACTAGAACTCAGGTCTGCTAGTTCTGGTCTAATGCTTCTTCGACTGCTCCTCACTGCTAGCCCCTGCCCTGTGATGATCACGCAGAACTGTGGGCCCAGGCATAGCTGGTTGTTCTATCAGCCATGGCTACCCACACATAGCGGAACACTTCTACACTCCCTCCTTGGCAGGAGATTGGAGGCAAGGAGGAAGGGAGGAGCCAGGGTATTTCTCTCTCTCTCTCTCTCTCTCTCTCTCTCTCTTTGGGCTGCATCTTACCAATAGCTTGTCTCCTCCCTGGATCCAACTCCTGCTGCCTGGGCCCACCATGGCTCCAGCTTCCGCTGAGTGACCCCAGCTCGGGGCTCCAGTGCCCCCACCTCGTCACTTTGTGCTCCAGCCCAAGAGGTGAGGCAGCTTCCTTCACCTGTTAAAGTCAGAGCTGCCGCACGTCCTCCCCATGTTGCTCTGTCGTCATTCCTCACACCCCGGTAACTCCCATGCCAAGCTCTGCCTATGGAATGACCTGGTACAGGCTTTTTCCCTATGGGAGTCACACTGATGCGTGTGCCCTCCACACAAGGTCAGGACAAGCCCGTCTCAGAAACAGCCAGGCGTAAATAGTACCCAGAGAGCAGGATCAGTGTTGACGGGGCCAGAGGCCTGGAGGCAAGGAATGGCTAAACCAGCTGGGGGCGGGGAAGTGGGGAAGGTCCCGGCGAGGAGAAGTGGAAGGCAGGGTGCAGGGCTCAGTTACCTGGGGCCGTGGGGATGGGGTCGGGGTGAGAGGAGCAGTGGGACGGGCTTGCAAGACAGACAGGCCAGAGTGCTAGCTCTGAGCTTCCTGGCTGTGCGACCTAGCAGGTCACGTCACCTCTGAAGCCTCCACTTCCTCCTCTGTGAAATGGGACAGTAACACTGACCTGGCTGGGCTTTAGGAGAACCCAGTGAAACAAACCACCTGAAGTGCCTGATCTGGGGCTCTAGATCCTGTGCTGTCTGTCTGGCAGCTGTCCCTCCCCTGACCCCAGAGCACAGGGGTCAGCCCCTCCCCGGGGCGGCACTGAAACCACTGAACCACCCGTGCAACACGCGGCATGTAAGGGCTGGGTTCGACTGGCCCAGGTTCAGCCCTGCCCCGCCCGGCCTGGCTCCCAGGGTGGCCACCTCTCAGAGCTGTGGTCCACGGCGTTCGCGTCGTCCTCCGCGACCCTGAACTCGCTGATGCGGATCCACTCGTGGAAGTCGACCCCCACCGAGTAGTAGACGTAGAGCCTGCCGTTGTGCCGGAAGCGGGGGTGGAAGGCCACACCCAGGAAGCCCCGCTCGTCGCCCTCCCAGGGCGAGGTGAGCACCGCCCGGCTGATATTCAGGAAGGGTTTCTCCACCCGCGAGCGGTCGGGCAGGTAGGCCCACACCAGCCCCACCTGCTCAGCCACGAAGAAGCGGTGGGTGCCGTCCTGGGCGTGGACCATGGCCACGGGGTTGCGCAGCCCGTTGGCCACCTCCTCCAGGCACAGCTGCAGGCAGCCCTTGGCGTCGGCCACCACGCGGCCCAGGTTCGAGTTGAGGTTCTCGTTGACCAGCAGGCGAGGGAAGCAGTAGTCGGTGTCGTCCAGGGACAGGTAGCGGCAGAACTTGGCGCGGTCGCCCTCCAGGGCCCAGAGCTTGCGGTCGGGCGACAGGTGGCGGAACAGGCCCCGGCAGGTCTGCCACATGTCCAGGCAGTAGTCCTCGCAGAGCCCGGGCAGGGTGCGCAGGGGCGTGGACGGGTCCTCGGCGTCATAGAGATGGGCTGCATAGGGCGAGCATTCCTGCAGGGACAGGGTCAGGGACAGGGACAGCTCGGGGATGCTCTGTGGTGGCACGGACCAGCTGTGTGGCCTTGGAGAGGTCACCCCGCCTCCTAGACCCCCAGGCTGCTAATCTGTAAAATGGGGACAATCCCCTCCGTTACCAGGATTAGTCTCAACTACGCAGGCCTCCAATCTCCTCGCCTTCATGCTTCTGTGAGAACCACTAACCACAGCTATTACTACCGCTACTAACAACAGCATCAGCAGCTACCCCTGAGGACCTACTGTGTGCCAGGAGGGTCTGAGTTCTTTTATATAAAGGGTGTCCCAAAATTCACGCAAGATTTGAATTTTGCGTGAGCATTAACAACAACAACAACAACAACAACAAAAATAAACAGATTCTAATATCTGTTGCCCTTTGATTTCAATCCCTTCAATTTGATAAGCATTACCAAGTACCAATTATGGCCCAGGAGCAGGGACAATGAAAACCAATGAAGACCATGGTTTTGCGTATGTGCCAGCAAAGCCGTGGAGGCCGTTTACCTGATGTGCTATTCCATACATAACCCTATCCTGTATACTTTATGAATCAATAAAAAAATTTACAATTTTTAATTATAAACCTGTGTTTTCTATCAAAATTACTTCTTGCGTGAATTTTGGGACACCCTATACTTTCTCTTCTAATCCCATTGATGCCACCGTCCTTTATCCGAGTAATGTTCTCCTTTGCTTCGCTCCCAACTCAAGGGCCACCTGATGCTGTCCTCCCCTCCAGCGGCTGCCAGAGCAGTTTCTTTTCTCTTCTAATCCCATTGATGCCGCCCTTTATCCGAATAATGTTCTCCTTTGCTTCGCTCCCGACCCAAGGGCCACCTGGTGCTGTCCTCCCCTCCAGCGGCTGCCAGAGCAGTTTCTTTGAGACAAAGGAGTCGGACCCACTGGGCCTCATTGGCCCTTTGTCAGCTCTGCTGGCCTCTAACTCCGTGGGACAAAAGCCAACAGCCGGACTCTTGAGGAAACCAAGATGGCGGCATAGGTTAACGCCGGAGTTTGCTGCCTCGAACAACCACTTCAAAAATACAACTAAAAGACGGAACGGACATCACCCAGAACCACAGGAAGGCTGGCTGAG